ATTGACACGACTCACGAAAAATGAGACAACTTAGACAGACATGGTACAAGGTGTTGAAGCTTGGCAAGGCTAGGATGACCTAATTGAGCATGGATGAGGGAAAGGGAATCCACCACCAAACCAACAGGAGCAAAAGTGCGTAGGTGATAAAGGCCATGAGACTCATATCCGGTGCCAATCATCCGTCCCGAACTCCGGTCCCGTAAGAAAACAGAATCTTTAGTAAAAGAGATAAGACAATCAAGAGAGCGAGTAAGACGACTAAGGGATAATAAATTAAAGGGAGACTCTGAGACATAAAGAACATTGTCAACGGATAGAGAAGGAGAAAGATGGACAATACCAACACCATGAGATGTGGCGTGAGAGCCATTAACCATAGTGATAGAGGGTAAATAAGCAGAAGTAGAAAGAGAGGAGAAAAGAGACCAATTACCAGAAATATGATCAGTAGCACCAGAATCTAAGACCCAGGGGCCAAGAGAAGTGGAGTGAGTGAGGCCAACAAACAAAGGGCCGGTGTGCGCAACATAAGCAGTGGAATTGGAAGCTTGACGTTCCTCATACCATTTAAGGAAGTCATTGAAGAGAGCTGGAGGTCCAAAGCCAGAACTATCAAAAAGGGTAGCACCAGATACAGTAGAAACAGGGGAGGCAGTGTGGGCAACAACAGTAGCAAGACGAGTGGGACGACCATGTAAGACGTAACAACGGTCAATTGTGTGGCCCAGTTTGTGACAGTGATCACACTTCGAATGACCTTTGCCCGGTTTGCGAGAACAATGACGATCATCACGTTGAGAAACCAAAGTAAAGGAGTCACCAGTGGGAGCTGAAGAAGATATGTCAGGGGAAAACTTGCAAGGCACACGCAACAGAGTGGACCAAGCCGAGTTCAAGGTAGGCACGGTCGGGGATCCCAAAATCTGATCACGAATGGAAGACTACTCATCAGGTAGCCCATACAATGCCATCAACATAAAGAAAGTTTGGCGTTGCTCTAGTTCCTTGGCAGGAGTGGTAGCGGGGGGCAAAAGGTTATTTAAGTTATGCGGAAGGCCATGAACTTTGCCCAAATACTCAGCCATGGAGCCCTCAAGGCGTCGTGAAGAAATGATACTCTAGAGATTTTGACACACACCATAGAGACGTTGAGTATCTTTGGTGTAAAATAGTCGTGCCTGTTCCCATACATCAACACAGGCCTCATGAGCACGAAAAATTTGCTTGAGGGAGGGATGAATGGTTGACTTAAGGACACTACAAATTTGAGCGTCAATTTTCGACCAACGAGGACGATCCTTCTCATCAACGGAAGCAGCGGTCTGGGTAAGGTGAGCAACATAATCCTGGCCCTTAAGCCAAAGCTTGATATCCGAAGCCCAAGTATCAGAATTGGTTCCATCTAACTTGTCAATGGAAAGGGGGACATTGACATAGTAAAAATAGGAGTCAGGCCGGACAGCAGTAGGAGAAGCCATATATGTTGGAACAGGAGAGAGAAACAACAACAGGAGAGAGAAAATAACCTGAGAAGGAAGAGATCCATGACAAACAAGGTCCGATGACAAAACAAATTGTAGATCGGGCTAGAGGACGTCTGGGCGAGTCCGACGCCGGTGGTCGCTGCCAGAATGGTGGCCGGACGCGTCGCCACGCGTGGCGACCGACGGGGAGGAGAGAGAAACCACGCGAGCACGAAGTCGGCGCATGTGGGCACGTGCGACCTCCGTTCGCCGCACGACTGGTGGTGTTGGGTTTGCTAGAGGAAGGCGAGCCGGGTGGGTGGGTCTCTAACCGGAAAGCTGACCCGAAGAAAAATGCCGAAAAGTAGAGGAAAAACGGCCAGAAAGAATCACAGCGAGGTGGGTTGCCAAAAAACAGAATGAGACACGTTTTCCGGGCACCGATGATCAGTGGGTCCACTGGGAGGTCAAGGATTAGGCTCTAGATACCATGTTGAGAGAAATGGTAAATGGAATAAAACATTTTCTTGTGTATTGCAAAGCAAAAGATGTGTTTATATACAAAGTAGTGGGCCTAGGCCCATGAGATAAAACTATATCTAACACCACTAATCTTCGATACCGAGCTATATATACTGGATCACCTTTCTTTTCACTTCTAAGTTTTTTATTAGGATCTATAGGAGTTTCAGCTGGCTTGAAACCCATCATCCCAATTTCTTTAAGATCTAAAATATGCTAACAATAATCTTTAGAATCAATGATCCATGGAGCTTTAGAATTTTGTTTAGTGCTAACAAGGGCATTAAAAAAGGAAATACCTTTCTGGGCTAGAGAACATGATGACTTAATTGACATTTTAGATGAAAAGAAGTACAATTGCTCCAATTGTTCCTTAGTGAAAAGAAGTGACTCAAAGTCGCCCTCTTGTCTCATGTTTTCTCCATTAGAGGCTACAAACAATGATGATGATGCAACTTCACCACATCTAAAATTTGCGGAAATCATGGTAGGCAAACACAGGATCAAAGTTTCAACTTTGATACCATGTAATTTAGAGAAGAAAAAGATCTTTATTTTTGTATATTGATCAGAATCACATAAGGGTATTATATTGACAGAGATGATTAGAAGAAATTCTAATCACCCTGATTACAAAATAAATGTAAAGATAACATAAAGAGAAGAAACTAAAGGAGAATCAAATCAGATTTGAATAATCTAATATTGATCCCATCTAACTAAATCTCCTATAATAAAAGAATAAAATCAAATCACAGTATGCCTAATTTTGATCTTAACTACCCAAATTTACAATTAAATAAAAAATATATTCAGCTGTCAACAATATATTTTGCCTCCTTTCATACCACAACCTTCTGTAAGTCCTCAAAGTTGTAGCAGCACAAGTAATGTCACTCATGCTGGTTGTACCTAAAAGTTTCAAGTAGGTTTAACCATCCACTGTTCAAACTACTTAAACTGAAGTTGATAACATGTTCAATATCTCATTGACCAGGGTATACGCAGTGATTTGGGGATTCATCATATAGTGGTAAACGAGTGGGAAAGAGGAGTTGATGCCGACCAGAATGTTGTGTTGATATCAATACCTAGTGTACTTAGTCCTAATCTGGCACCACCTGGGAAACACGTGTTACATGCTTATATGCCAGGAACTGAACCATTTGAGTTGTGGGAAGGACTTGATCGTAGGAGTGCTGAATACAGAAATCTCAAAGCTGAAAGATCAGAGGTATGTATTGTGGATTTATACTTGGTAACATATTGTGTTCGTTCAACTAGCAACTTGGTAACATAAAAGTGTGACATTAAGGTAATGTGGAGAGCAGTGGAGAGAGCAGTGGGGCAAGGTTTCAGCAGAGAGAAATGTGAAGTGAAGTTGGTGGGGAGTCCACTAACACATGAAAGGTTTCTTCGGAGGAAGAGAGGAACATACGGGCCAGCAGTGGAAGCTGGCAGAGATAGCTTTCCTGGACATTCAACTCCCATTCCACAGCTTTATTGTTGCGGAGACTCCACCTTTCCTGGCATTGGAGTCCCAGCAGTTGCTGCCAGTGGTGCAATTGTAGCAAATTCATTAGTCTCAGTATCTCAACATTCCCAGCTCCTTGACGCAATTGGCATATGAAAAAAACAACAAAAACATCATGCGAATGCATCTTCCCAGCCACTCTTGCAGCTCAATCTTTTCTACTTCTCATGTACAAACTACATATACCATGTCATGTCTTACCTAGCTCTCTTTATTCGCTTTTCAATTGTAATTGCGGCTGTTGGGAAAAATTAATAGCAAATATGTAACCAATGATACTTGCTCAATGATCAACTACACCTCCAAAATCTCCAAAATTAATACCTTTCTCACTGTGGGAGACATGACAAGGTCTCCCACCCTAGCCTAAACCTTTAAACATATAATGTTTCTTTAAAAACAAATAAAATTTTACTATTAAATTACACATTATTTAATGTATGAACTAGATAAAATTTAATGTCCATGATTACTAAAATAATAATATAATTTAATGATAAACATCGATAAAAATTTATTAAAAGGCATTACTTTGTTAAGTATATAACGCTTGATATCAATTGATCATGTCTCAGAAAGATAATGGAATAAAATTGTTATCCAGATTATCAAAAGGAAAGAAAACTATTAAACTTTTAATTGTTCACTGATCCAGTTTGGGTTTAAGGAAAAAAAAGTCTGCTTGAATCCGTTGGATTCATCACATTATCTTGTTCACCTTTTGAGAAAAAGGTTCACAACCCTGCTGCCGCAAGGAAATGTTGCCTTCTCACAAGACCAGAATTCAGTTACCGATTATTGCAAACACGACAGTCACGACAAAAGCAGGTGTGGACTAGGCATGACAATCTAACCTGTCCCCGCCGCCCGAACCCGCCCCGATTTGGATGGGGAAAA